ATCTCCCAAATAAAAAAAAGGGGAAAAATAAATATAGAACCTTGCTACTTGTACAAAAGAATTTGTACAAAAATGTTGACAAACCCTCACATGTGGGGGGGCCCACTTTTTATTTTCAATTTTTTATTCATGTGGGGCCGGCAATCATGTGAGTGTTTGTCAACATTTTTGTCAAATTCTTTTTGTACAAATAGCTTTATTCATATGCAGCACTGTCTCTCGATTTCTGGAATGAAGCCTATTGTCAACGGGAGAGTAGCGTAAGGTTTAAATTTAGAGGATTTGGGTTGATTTGGTGGTTGGGGGAATCGGGTTTTGCGTTGAAAATCAATTCAAATCTTCTTTTTTTTTTTTTTTTAAATGTGTTTTAATGTTTAAATTATTACATGTCGATAGCACTTTTAAGATTTGGCATAAATAAGTTAGACTAGTGTCCACGTCATCATTTCAACCAATTTTCTTGACAAATATTCGTTTGGTGATGAATGATATAGTTTTTAAAGTTCAGTGACCCAATAGAAACTTTAGGTAAAGTTCAGTGATGTTTAGAGTAATTAACCGAATAATGATATTATGATAAGATTCAGACCAAGTCTGACCGAAGAAATCTAAATGAAGGCGGGACCCACTCGATAATTGAATCTGACAACGTGTTCTGCACTGTGAGCCAATCCCTAGTCAAGACGATTCAACTGTCATCCGCAGTGATCCGCTCTCTCTACCATCATTACGTCATGCTTAGCGCCGCCACCGCCTCTCTATTCAACCTCCCTCACCTTACCGTCACCACCATCATGACTTCAACAATTACACCACCCCTGAGTATTAGGCCTTGTATGGGAGGGATTAAAATCGGATTAAAATTGAAAATATAGCCGTTATTGTTGACTTTCATTAGACGGGTGGGACCCAATAACGGTCATATTTTCAATTTTAATTGGATTTTAATCACTCCCGAACGAGGCCTTATTATTTATACCATGCCAATTGATACCATCACAATTTGCTGAAATTGTCTTTCTTTCACAATCAGTGAAATTATATGTATTTATTTTTCATCCATACATCCAATCCAACTCCTTCCCGAATTTCGATATGTCGGCGGTGTATCAGCAATTTTCAACATTCAAATGCTCAAACGATTTTGCGTTCCAGTTTCCATTCCCTGATAGTAACAAAAGGTAACCTCTTTTTACAAGTAATTTTTTATAATAACAAATTGTTTATCTTTGTCTCTTTTGTTTAATCAACTGGTGGCGGCGACGATTCTCACTTTTCTCTATTTCCTTTTCTCTCGTACGGCTAATTGGTATTACATTCAATCCTTTTTACCAATTTTTTTTTATCTATGGATTTAGTAATTTTTGTTCGACTGCAAATCTGATTTTTTTACTCATTTAAGATCCACTGTTTCTTCTAACAATTTTCACGCAGTGGAATGCCATTCTCTTAGATCTGTATATTTTATGCTAATTTTCTTTCCCATTTACTGGTGACTAATGTCAAATTAAGGCATAGCAATTTATGACTATGAAAATAGTTTTTATGGTATTTAATTCAAATTGTCTTTGTCTGAATTAGCTCCCAAAGTTTCATTCTTGGAGACTCAAATATTTCTTCACATGAATTAATTGCCGATTAAAGGTAATTAGTTCGTGGTGCTTGAGAATTTTTTATCAATACCTACATTTACTTGCCCTGTAAAGTATATTGTCCTTGGGGAGTGATACAACAAATAATTGGGAAAGATGACAGTGATGGTCATTGGTGAACATCCAAATTCTAATTATTGTTGTGATCGCTGATAATGGTAAATATTTTGAGACTCTGATGCCCTTGCAATTATCCAATTCAAAATTTGCTTCCTGCCGTTGCTTTCGAATATTAACTTGCCAGACTGGTGGGAATTAACAATGGCTAAAAATAGGCCATTATAATAATGCACTAATGAGTTAAAGTTTGGTTTTATAGTTCTATATACCCTATACTTCTGTATCCTAATTCTCTCGGAATTTGAGGAAGAGAAACTCAAAACAGTTGCCTCCCACTCTCCCGCTCTGTTCTGTGATTTCACATGGAAATATATCACAATTGATGTGATTTTGGAGAGTTAGATTTGACCTATCATATTACTGCTATATTTTGAAGGAGAAAGCTATTGTTTCTTTCTTTCAGGTAGTTCCTTTTATACTAATGTCAAATTCTATTGCTACTAAGCAGGAAGAATGCAAATTGGAGGTCACCAAGAGCAGCCATAATTCCCAATTTTCATCTTCCAATGCGCAGTTTTGAAGTTAAGAATAGGTAAACTGTTATGGTCTATTAGCTTTGTCAATATTTAGAAAATTTCCAAATCTGCATTTGATTAGCTAAAACAGAAAGTATGTTGATTTGGTTTTACTATATGCAGCAATTAAACATTCCATTAATCTTATATTACTCATGACCCTAGCATGCACAATAAGGGCGTGATTCAATGGATGATGGTTTACGGCCTTAAGTCCTGAGTGCTTCTATAATGTTTTGATTTGTAATGATAATTTTGAAGTGTTGTAATATCTAACTGATGGTTGATCCTTGCAATGTACATGAGTTTTC